GAGACGTCGAAGTGGACGAGAGGCTGCAAACTCCATCTACTAATCGGAGCTAGGAGCACGAGCAGCAGCAGAGGAGCAGCAGCAGGAGCAGTAGCAGGAGCAGGAGCAGGAGCAGGAGCAGAGAACATCAGGAGGAGTTCTCGTTTTTGTCCTCCTCGCTCACCCTTTCCAAGTAACTCTCAATGTACTTCAACCTCTTGGAGATCTGAGCAAGAGACAGCAAGTCAGTCAGAAAAAGACCTCACTGTCTTGCCTTCCTCCCCTTCCTTGCCCTTCTCCTCGTCCTCGTCCTCGTCCTCCTCCTCCTCCTCCTCCTCCTCCTCCTCCTCGTCCTCCTCCTCCTCCTCCTCCTCCTCCTCCTCCTACCTGTTGTACTTTGCTGCTGCTGCTGGCAACATCCTCCAGCTCGACATTCACCAGCATCTTCTCCTCCCTCAGGGCTTGCCTGCAGCACATAGTCATCCCCTTGATACGAGCGACAAGGAGAGCAGGACGTGGGAGATGAGAGCAGAGAGAAAGAGAGAGGAGAGGGAGGGAGAGGGGAGGGGAAGCGAGAGGTGGGGGCAGGACAGGACAGGACAGGACAGGACAGGACAGGAGGGGAGCGAGAGAGGAAAGGAGGGGGAGAGAGAGGAAAGGAGGGGGGGAGAGAGCTGGGTTCACCTCAAGCTGGAGGTATTCAGGTTCCTCTGCCTGCGGGTGAGAGGACGGCCGGTCGCTCGTTTCCACCAGAGGATGAGGATGTCGGCAGCGATCGCCCTGACCCTCTCCCTCGACTTCTCCCTGGAAATGATACCCAGCGCTGTGCTCTCCTCCGTGCTGTAGTTGAACAGGTTCGCCAGCGTCGCTGCCGTGATGGAGGAGGTCAGGATGCCGTAGAGCGCCGCCATGGCGGCGAGGAAGCGGCTGAAGTGGGTGGAGCACATGCTGCCGCCTCCTGCTCCAGGGAGGACAGAGGTCCAGATGAACCAGCACGCATTGAGGAGGAAGAAGTCGTTGGTCTTGTCGAACTCATTGCCGGCAATCTTCCACTTCCTGGCTTCGGGGAGGAGGCACATGGGGTGGGAGGTGGTGGCGAGGAGACAGGAGGAGATCTCGGCGTTGCGGTAGAGGTAGCCGACGAGGAGGACGAAGAGGAAGCCGCAGAGGAGGAGGTAGAAGACGGCGTTCCAGCTGTTGAGCATGAGCTTGAGCACGAAGATGGAGTTGAACTTGACGCGTGTGAACAGCTCGATGGTGTGACGGTTGGGCAGGTGGGTGAGATGCTTCTGCCGAAAGACGCGCCATGCGAGGTAGACGCGGAGAATGTTGAAAGAGCACATGACTGTCTCCCCGCGGTAGGCCACGATGTTGCCCATCATCATGCTGGCGATCTCGAAGGTGAAGAAGGGAGGGAGGTGGAGGAGGCAGACGGCTGCTTCCGTCCAGAACTTGCTGCTGTGAAAGACGGAGGAGACGGGGACGTGCGTGCTCAGCTCGAGGCCTCGCTGGATGTGCCCGATGATGCGCTGCAGGAGAATCTCGTGCGCGTAGATACGATGAAGAAAGACCTGCAGAGAAAGTCAGCGGCAACCGGTCGGGGATAGAGAGCGAACGAGGACGAGGTCGAGGAGGTGGAAGAGGTGGAGGATGATGACGACGATGACGAGGAGGAGGTCGAGATGGAGGATACGAGAGAGATGAAAAAGACCAGGGGGAGAGGAGAGGGGGAGCACTAGCCCACCACACAGACGACGGAGCAGCAAGTGTTGGCGAACTTGAGCGCGTTGATCCTAGTATCATGAGGATCCTCCTCGGCGAAGATCAGCTCGTTCTGCAGGAGCGCGAAGAGGGTCCCCAGGGAGGCGAAGAGGAGAGCAAGCCTGCTGCTCCTGGTGATCTGCTCGTCCACCTTCACAGGGCTCCGCCGCCAGTCCCGGGGAGCGAAGGACGAGACCAACAAAGCCTCGGGAGGAGGAGGAGGGGGAACAGGTGGAGGAGGAAGAGGATTGGTACCGTTGCTCCTTCTGGAGCTTGAGGAGACCACGGAGCCATCGTGGGACCCCTGACGCTTCAGGCTACCGCGGGGTGAAGATTTCTGCATCCTCTCTTGCAGGGAAGAGCACAAGGTTTTCAGGCGCTCGTGGATCTGATCGATCTTGGCCTGGTCGGAGAAGCAGTCTTCCATCTCTGCGCGGGCTACCTTCTTCTTCTTCTTGAAGTCGTCCTTGATCTGCTGCAAGTGTACTCTCCTCGCGCTCTCTCTCTTGCTGGCATTCAGCTTCTGCTCCCGCCTGATCCTGTACCACACCTGCAGCAACTCTGCCGCGTGCCTCTCCAGGTGGTGGAGGGCGGAGAGCTTGTCGAACATGAGCAGCGCCGTCTGCTCCTTGTTCGTGAATTGAAGTCTCTGCATTAGCGACGCGGTCAGCATGGCGACCATGGACAGCCCGATGATGGACATGAAGATCGACACGAGGCGTCCAAGTGAAGTCGTTGCAAGCACGTCCCCGTATCCTGGAGGGAGCACAGTCAGCTCGAGCGTACCTCATCCTCCTTCCCCTGTTCCTCCCCCCCCCAAACACTCCTCCCCCTTCCTCATCTTCCGCCACCTCCTCCTTCCCCCCCGTCGTCCTCGTCCTCCTCAATCGCATCTCTACGTCCTCCTCCTTCCACTCCTCCCCTCTCTTCTCCTCACCGACTGTCGTGCTCGTCGTGAACATCGCCCACATCGCATTTTGCATGTACAGGTCATTCACTTTCTCGTACTCCCCCTGCTCGTTCCACCACATCCTCGCGTTGACCCGCAGACATCGCGGGTCTGTCGTGAACGCGAACTGACAGGCTGTGACCTCAACGGCTCTGAACCAGTACGCCGCCAGCAGAACACTCACTATCCACACCATGGCGATGAAGAACACAGCATAGTAACCATGCATGATAGTCTTGACCGCAAACGCGCTTCCCAGGTCGATCTCGGTGAAGTTGGAGACAGTGTGTCTCTTGGGCAGCGATCGGAGGACGAAGTCGCGCAAGCAGGACCAGAGGAGGAATACCCTCGTCGTGCTCCAGAGAGCGCCGACCGACTCGATCTGGTACAGGATGAAGTTCTGGCCGAACTGGACGGGGATGGTGAAGGAGACGAAGGGAGGGACGTGGAGGAGGAAGATGGCTGTCTGCAGGAGGAACTTGGGTTCCTTCACGATGCTGAGAGGGGCGACGTTGAGATCCAGGCGATGCAGCGATCGCAGATGCAACTGGATCCTGATGAAGATTTTCTTGAGGTAGAAGATCCTGTACAGAGTGACTGCAGTCAAACAACATGTCAGCCGAGGATCCGCGAGCTAGTGCAGCATCACCGACGCTGACGAAGGCGAGGATGAGACAGAGGATCTTGAGGGTGTTGATGGCAAGAGAGTGAGGATTGGTGTTCTGGATGATCATCTCGTGCTGCAAGCAAGAGAAGAGGATACTAGAGGCACTGATCAAGGTCAGAAATCTCCTGAGAGCCACAATCCTGTCCTCGACAATCCCCCTGTTCTTCCGCCAATCTCTATCCCCACCACCGCTCTCGACCTCTCCCTCTTTTTTGACGACCAGCTTCTCTTCTGGCATGGTTTGAGATGGAGCACCTCCATTCTTTGCCTGCCCCCCATCTTCTTTCCCGTTCATGGACAGATCCTTGTTCAATTCGACGTTGGAGGAATTCCTCCGTATTGCGCCTGCGCCATCAAAGCTTACCAAGGGAACACCATCAGATCTCAGAACTTACGCTCGCTCTCAATCTTCTGGAAGAGTTCATGCGCGGCGAAGCCTGGCCTTCTTGAGTCCGAACTTGTCCTCCTCTGCTCCTTGACCCCATTCTTGACCGACTCAGCATCATAAACACTCTTCGACCTTGCTCTGTGTGCTCCGTTCACCACTCGATTTTTCGCCTTCCTGTCCTCCAAGCCCGTGACGAGCGCGTCTGCTGAGACCCTCCTGTTGTACATGGGTCGCGCATCCCACGACCTGTGCGCAGGTGCGAAGGAGGGCAGTGCATCACTCACTGAATCCGCTCCTTCCTCGCTTGAAGGATGAACGCGCATCTGTGATGAGAGGAGTCAGAGGAATGCAGTATGTGTATCCATCGAAACATGCAGCTTGCACCTGAGACTTAGCAATCTGCTCCCTGCCTGACACTCCCCAAGCTGGAGCCTCCGTCACTACAGCACATTTAGTACCTCGCCCCCACCTTTGAAGCAAGGTGCTCTATTCCCCCTAGCACTCATTCGATTCCTCGCTCCCCCCCTGCTATCCTTATTCTCTTTCCAGCCGTCTCCATCTTTCTAGGGTCCTAGCTTCATCGTCTTGAGCTGGTTCCGAGCTCCTCCCCTTCTGAGGAGCCTACAAGGTACTTTCAGTGTCCTTTTCTTTGCTCCTGCTCCAGATCTTACATGACTGCTCCTGCTCCTGCCCTTGCTCTTGCTTCCAGCTCCTTCTACCTGCTGATGCTCCACCACCACCACCACCACCTCCTCCTCCTCCTCCTCCTCCTGCCATTGCCACGCGGCTCGTCCCCCTTCCTAGTCCTCCACTTGTGCGTACGGGGGATGAGTGATCAAACCGCCATGACTCTTTTTTGACCCCACCCCTCCATTTCCCCTCAAACTACCCACCCCAGTTCCCCAAAAACCGAAGAGTACCCACCACCACATGCCTGGAGGTACCGCACATGGGGGACCCACCCTACCGCCGAAGAGCACTTTTGGACCCCCACCCTCAATTCTGCGTAAGTTTACTACAGCACCGATTCCCCCAGAAGTGGAAGAATTGAACCCCCACCACCCCGATTAGAAGATCCTTCGTCACCACCCCTACCCACCACACTCCACAATCACGACCCTATCTTCCGCCGCACTCCCCCGATATCCGGTGCGAGTCCCCCCCAACTGAGAGCCTGAAATGTACTGGAGGATAGGGGGGTGGGGTGGTGTAAGCAACGCAAAGGACCCGGTCCAGCCCCAGTAAAACGAGAGGTGGCCCTCCGATGATTGCAAGCAGAATTCCAACTTGATCCTGCGAAACTAATTTATATTTGTGACTCAACTTGTCTTGCGCGCAGCCTTGCCTGTTGCCAGTGACGGTGCGGCGGCACCGCCGACTCACTGTCAGTGGCACGCGGGGGGGGCGGGCTGGGCGCCGCCCCCGCTCGTGCGTCGGTAGTAGCCTGAGCCTCGGTAGACGGTAGCCCGGTAGTGCCAATGGCCCGCCGGCCGCACTGGGCCGCACGAGTCCGCCCCGGACTCAGGGTGCAACGCCCGGCCGTGCCACGGTCGGTCGGACTCCAAGCCCTGAGCCCGCGGCCAGCAGTCACCGTCAGTGCCGCACTGGCCGCGATGATTCGCGGCCCCCCCCCCCGGCCGCGCTCTCTCCCCCCCGGGCACTGCGGCACCCGGTGACCCGCCGCCCCGGCGGGCCGGCGGGGCCCGGGCCGCGCGCCGCCGGCGGGGCCCGGGCCGGCCCTACTGGAGTCCCGATCGGATGATCGGATCACACTCTGTTCAGCTGTCGGGCAGCGCTGGGACAAGGCTGGCATCATGGCAGCGGCGCAGGAAGGGGCAGCAGCGGTGGGCATGGAAGGCGCGGCAGAGAGATCGAAGGGCAACAGCTTCGATGTAATCGGATGCTCAGAGAACTTTGCCATGTCCCATTGCCATTCGCAGATGCTGCTGTAAACTTGAAAGACCGTGTCGCGCTATGCCCCTGATGGCATGTAGTACTCGTGACCTTGTGTGTTACCCTCTCGCTCGCGCGGCAGATGATAGCGGATGCGGTTGAGAGCTGATAGCACTTGTGGTCTTCCAGGTGGGAGAATTCATCAGCAGCATGTGGAGAGGTTTCGACTCCTTCGGCAACTCCATCACGAAATATGTACAGCTGCAGTGGTTGAGCGATGTTGGTATGAAGGATGACTGTTTGTTTGGAAGGACATCTCCGGGGACTTACTTACACAGCGTATCAATCATGCAGAATCAGAGAGCGATGAGGACTTGGCCGAGGTAACATGATCGTTGTCGCTTCTGAAACGATGGTCAACAGTAAAGCAGGAGGACCCCAAGAAGAAACCACCGGAAAAGAGGGAGGCGGAGAGAAAGAACAGCAGCAAGCATCAATCAAAGGAGAAGAGGAAGAGCAGAACCAAGAAATCTGCTGCCGTCAAGGAGTTCGAGGAGAAGCTCTCTTTGATTCGGAATCACAAGAGCACGACCTTTCAGATCTGGGAGAGACAAGCTCGATCGTGATGCTCAGACTCTCTTGTCTCGTCCTGCCCTTGATATGTGCTGTAGCACCAAGGAGGGGCGCATGGACGCGAGAAATTCTGCGGCAGCCATGGTACCAAGTTTCTCCTCTCCACTGTGATCTAACGGGTTGATGGTTGCAGGAGTCAAAGATGCTGACGACAAACTCCCTCGGGTCTCCCTGCTCCCATAACTCCTCTGCCCTCCTCCTCCTGCTCTCGCTCCTGCTGACGGGGCCTGGCAGTGTGGGCCATGTAGCCAAGTATGGTCCCTGGGGACGATGCAGTGGAAGGAAGCACGCGGCGAACGAGGTCTGCCTGGAGTGCTCGGTAAGTACGGCTATCCAAGGGTCAAACTGAGCCCTTGGTATCAGCGACTAGATGAGAGGACCAGGAGCAAGATCATACACAACCATCGATGGGACGAGCATGTGTCGACTCTGACCAGGCAAGTGCAGTTTCATCTTGAGTCGGGGGGATCATGAGGTGACCGTCTTGCAAGCAGAGGGCTGAATGAGCATCGGGACTTGATGGCTGACAGGCTAAAGGAGCCGGCTGTGGTCTATGACAACAAGGTAGTGCAGGCACATCACTCGAAGAAGAGCATCGTCTCTAAGATTAAAAGTTCACTCTCATTGTAATCCCCTCCCTCGTCATCTTGACTCGTTCTGTCCCCAGCTCACTCGCTTCTTTTTGCTCTTTGTCTCTGGGGCCTGCAATGGCGGTTGAGAGAAAAGAGATATCATCCCACACAATCACCTCCTCCTTCTTCTTCTCTTGCGCCTGCTTCTTGGAGCTCACCTCCTTGAGCTTTTGCATCAACACCTGGGATGAGAATCATCTCTAGCATGGATGACATGTGCAAACTCACAGTCTTCTTCTCTTGCTTCATCGACTTTCTCTCATTGCGCTTATCCTTCCAAGACGTCAATGTCCCAAAACAGCATGTACGCACACCTACCATGATTTGCTTGATCTTGTCGTTCTTCTCCTTCTCTTTCTTCAGCTTGGTCTGGCACAGCAAGCAACATCACGAGCGTCGACATCGTAGGACAAACAGCATCACCTCCACCTCAGCCTCTGCCTTATCGACGATCGACTCCATGAGAGAAAGAGCCGTGCTCTTATCCGACACGATCGTCTTTGCCTTCTTCTTCGGCTTCTTGTCACTCGCGCCCACCTCTGCCGAGTCTCCCCCTTCCTCTACCTCTGCCCTGCCCCTCTTGCCTTGTTTCTTCCCTGTCTCCTTCTTCCCCTTCGCCGGCTGCTTCGACTTGCTTGTCTTCACCTTGTCTCCGGCTCTCTTGCTGTTTCCGTCCGCATTCTCCTGCTCAACTTCGAAGAACATCCGAAGGACCCCCGCCTCCATGCTCGCGTTCACTTCCACATCATCTCCTGCTTTTACCTTCCCCTCCACATTCTGCGGCCATGCGGCCTCCAGGTGGTAGCCCCCTCCCCAGCTTCCGGTGTCCAACTTGAAGCCTACGGGGCAAGTGAGTTCGAGACTAGAGTAGAGGGAGGAGACTGGAGGGAGGAGACTGGAGGGAGGAGACTGGAGGGAGGAGACTGGAGGGAGGAGACTGGAGGGAGGAGACTGGAGGGAGGAGACGATGAGGAGACGATGAGGAGACGATGAGGAGACGATGAGGAGACGATGAGGAGGACGTTTGATACGTTACCTCCATTATCTGCCTTGATATCTAAGACGGAATCCGGTATGTGCCGCGGGAGGGTGACGCGAACTTCAAGTCTGTCACCTCGCTTGTTCAGCTGTGCAAACAGTTGTCAAGGGGATGGAAGAAGAGCTTCTTTGACGTGTGAAGACCTTGATGCTGTGAGGAGGAGTCTTTTTTGACGCCATAGAGTCGCCCTGACATCGAGATCAGCATCGGCCGCATCCCTCCTGCACATGCGATGTCCTCAACCATTGCACGGTTGGCATTTTCTCCCTGAATCCACGGGTATCTGATATCCTAATCCACTTCGCATCTTTTTGCCATTAGATTCACTTCACTCTCAGCATCGATGAACACTCTGGACATGTAATCTGCGAGTATCTATGTGCTTTTAACCAGACTTCTCCCGTAGACTTCGACAACCTGAGTACAAGCTCTTGATATCTTGTTCATCTGCTCCGCCATTGTCTCCCCCTCATCTCTCCTCTCCTTCCCCTTCCCTTCCCTTCTCCTCCTCTCCTTCGATGGTCCAAACTTCCCCAGCACACGTGAAGACCTCATCCCCCTCATTCCCTCCTTTCACCGTCACCGGGACTCGCTGCCGCGACTCGGCGAACTTGAACCGAGCCCGGCCCGGCTTCAAACTTCGGAGCGCCGGGCCGCTGGCACTGAGCGGCTGAGTCGGCCGGGCTGAGGCCGAACGCAGCAACAGTGACTGCCGGAGTGCTGGCAGGCCCGGTCCGGGCCTGACTCGCCGCCGATGTTGACTGACGGTGTTGAACTTTTACTCACTTAAACACAGTAATAGTACACGCGGGCGTCGGGGTCAGCTGCGTTTCTGACCCCAAGGAAATGCTTCCTGACCTTGGGCTGAAAGTCGTAGAGGGTGATAGGCTCCTCGTTGCCAGCCTCTCTGCAAGGGAGGAATGAGGGGGAAGGAGAAAGAGGGTGTGAGTAAGAAGGAGGAGGAGGAAGGAGGAGGAGGGAGAAGGAGGAAGAGGAGGAGGAGGAGGAGGAGGAGTTGGTGGTAGTGGACACGTACAGTTTGCCCCGGTAGGGTCGGTTGAAGAACTTCTCCAGGAGGCGCATGGAGGCGACGCGGCGCTCGGCGTCTGTCTTGTAGTATTTCATTTTCAGCCCCACCCCCTCCTCCTCAGGCTCCGGATCCCCTGCTGCATCCTCGACTCAGCAACCCTCCAGAAGGAGCATGCTCGAGCTCACCTAGCTTCATGGTCAAGTACTCGGGGTCCTCCCGCAGCCTCTTCAGCTCCAGCAGCTCCTTCAGCTGGATGATGCGTTTCTCCTTCTTCCAGTGCTCGGCGATCGCCTTTGGGGGCTCGCCGGTCTCGAAGTTGAGGAAGGGGATAGACTTCCTCTTCACTACCGTCTCGTTCAGCGGCAAGATCTCTGCTCCTGTCTCAGGGTCGAACATCGGGTAGTCCTCCGGTGTCCCCGGATACCCTCCAGGAGCCTCGTCCTCAAACCTCGTCTCGTTCCATCGCACGAACACGTAGGAGCCGTCGGCTCGCCGGACGGGCTTCAGCCAGTCCCGCATGCTCTCGTCCCACTTGAACCCAAACTGCTCCAGCATGTGGGAGCAGTTCATGCGGTAGGGCCCCTCAACGAACGTCTCCTTCCACACGTCCTGCATCTCCAGCACGTCCTCGCTCCTGAAGACTCCCGGACGATCGTTGGTGGACCACAGGGCCCCGGACACGTTGCAGCCCCGCACGTGCAGCGAGGCTTCGTGGGAGCCTCCGTTGAAGTTGATGGTCAGCTGGTCACCCTCCGCATCTCCGTTGGCGATCCGGAGGGACAGCGGGCAGCCGACTTGGCCCCACTTGAAGACGGAGGAGGAGAGCTCTAGCAGGTTCGAGGACGAGGCGATACTTGCGTCCATCAGTGCCTCCACTCGCTCCTTCACGCTGTCGGGGACTCCATGGGTCCATCCAGGAAGGCCGTAGAGCCAGCCGTCTGTCACGTTCCCCAGCAGGGGGTCCATCCTCCTGGTGGGCCGCGACGGGACCCTCGTCCATGCTCTCCTGTACTTGTCCCAGTGGATGGGGAACTGATGGAAGAACTTTCTCATCCCCTGCTCCTTCTTCGCCCTCTCTGTCAGCATAACCTCCACCATCCTTCTCTCCTCCTCCCCCAGCTCGTCATCCCGTGCGACCTCCCCCTGCTTGTTCACTGCGAGGAACGCGCCCTGGAAGTTGTTCTGCAGGAAGCAGCTCGAGAGCTTCACCTGCGCTCTGTCCAGCACGCCGACCGAGTGAATGTTACGCTGGAACACGCTCCTGTCTACGGAGACCTGGCTCATCCCGACCGCATGCAGCGCAGGTAGGATAACGGTCCCTGTCATCTCGATCGTGTCTTCGTTCAGCACGACCCTGGCAAAGTCCCTTGCCAGCAGCCCGCACGTCGCTCTTCCTCCTCCCGAGTGACGTTCCCGCTGGTGAGATACCCCTCCTATCACGCTCTGCCGTATCTTGGTCAGCGATCGTCTCGCCGCGCACAGGGCCACGGCCCCGCAAGCTCTGAGCTCGCAGTGCTGGAACAGCCATGGCCCCCCCCTCGTCTCTATCGCATTCATGTAAACCGCATCGTCTTTCTCGTCCTCCAGGTAGCTGTTGTTGTTCTCCATCGCCAGTCGCACCCCCAGGAAGGAGCCGACCGAGTTGGCCTGAAGCATCATCCTCCCGCACAGTCTCGCTCCTTCCTCTCCGGTGACATGCAAGCAGAAACTTTCCTCCTGCCCTGCCTGCTCGAGCTCCAGGAGGTTCAGCGTCGGTTCTGCACGGAGAACTGGAGGAGGAGGAAGGTCAGGAGAAGCCAGGAGGAAGGGATCTAGCTCACAGTTGGGGACGCTGACGATGCCAAAGAGCACCTCGATGATTCGAGGAGGGAGTTTTGAGTTCATAAAGATCCCGTCATATTGGATGGCGAGGTCACTCCTTGACCTGCGGAGAACAGCTGTCAATCTCTCCTCCTCCCTCTTCCTCCTCCTCCCGTGTTCCCCTCCCAACTTTCTTCCTTCTCCTCCTCCTCTTACTCTGCTCCCTTCCATGTGTGGTTTCCAGCCCTCAAGAAGATTCTCTCTCCATCTTTCGCTGCCCAGACAGCAGCAGCGAACGTCTTGAATGCATCGGGGAGGATGAGGTCGTCTCGCCTTGGAGAGGGAGGAGGGAGCAGAGGAGGAGGAACAGTCGAGTTCCAGCATGTCACTCCCTCCACATCGACGTCAGGCACTGGGACGAATCCCCACTTCTCCCGCACTTGCAGGAGAGTCTCCAAGTACTGCGGCGAGCAGGGAGCGGTCAGGGTGGAGGAGAGGAGGTGGGGGAAGGAGAGGGGAGGGGATTGAAGAGAAGCAGAGGGGGGAAGGAAGAGCATTGAGAGGAGACAAGGGTGGGGAGGAGAGGAGAGAGAAAGGGAAGAGACTAGCGGGAAGGAGAGTGAAGGGAAGGAGAATCTCTCATTCAAATTCACATCAGCATATATGGTCATGAGAACCCAGGGGTGACAACACGGGCAGCACGGGAGAGGTAGGACAAACCTCCCTGTCCATAGACCTCTTAATCCTCTCGATCCAGAACTCTTCGTTCTTCAAGATCTTGTCCCACGTGAGGGTGTACTTCTGCAGTGAGCTGAGAAACGTGCACAACACCAGGTCCAACTGACTTCCAGGAGATTTTCGTCTATCTCGTGGTCGAAAATATTATCCTTGGTCCTCCTTCCAGGTCGGAAAGGCCATTCGTCGCTGCGTTCAGAATTTCACGGTCACAAGAAGTGACATGATGAAGAAATCAAATTCAATCTCGAGGAGGAAACAAGGACAGGAGAGGAGGTACTTACGGCGGTTCCCCGGAGACAAGCTCGCCGTAAGAAATCTTACTTGTCGTGGAAGAAACGTTCAAGAGTTCAGAGGCAACGAGGTTTCGAATCGACTGAGGAGCAAAAATATCACAAGACACGACTGATGTCTTGCTTGTTGATGAAAAGAGACATGTTTGGTTAGTGAAGACATCTTGGATGATACAGATATGATGGCCAAGAAGACATCATAGCCAATGAAAACATGATCATGAACAAGACACAATATATACGTCGTCGGAGTCGATTCGTTTCTTCTTTTCCTTGTCTGCAACAGCCTTCAGGGCTTCATATCTCATGCATGATTTCAGATCACAGTATTCGTAGTCATCGAACAGGTTCGGCGTTGGCTCGGGGTCCTCGGGAGCCATCAAGGCATCTTGTAGACTTGTGTTGCTCATGGTCTCTTGTCCCTTGAGGTAGTGAACTTGGTGTTGACTCTTGTTGTCAAGAATGTGATGGTGATGTCTGTTGTCGTTCTTGTTGTCTATCTTTTGGTTGTCAACTCCGACACTAACATTTCATGCCTCACCCTTGTATTCAATCCCTTTCATCTCTACATCTGCAGTACAGTCACCTTTGCAGAAACAACTCAACCACGCTCACCGTCACTGTCTTTGTACAGTTCGCCGCGGTACATCAGTCGAGCTTGACAGCTTTTCCGTCAGTTTCTAGTCTCCTCTGCCCACAATTCAAGACCTCGATCTCGCTCCCTGACGTACTCGATAGCCTCGTCAAGCATCTGGCTTGCTTCCTGCATGGTCAAGAGAGGACCATTGTCCCCGATTTCCTTGTCGCCGCCCTTCTCTGCATCGACCCCCTGATTCTACACCATCCCATCCTCACTCCACCGTCTCCACGATCATCTGATTCCTCACCTGCTCCCACGGCAGCAAGTTTCGGTTGTCGTGGTCTGATTCGCTGATGTGGCCGAATTAGGAGCTGAGGAAATGAAATAAGAAGAGCGAATTTTACCTCTGAGATTGCAGGACAGCTCGATTGTTCTGCCATATTCGCTCGACCTGTTTGTTGGAGCGTCAAGGTTAGGATCAGGAGGAGGGAACGCAGACCTCGATAGCTTCCGAGTATGACAGTCGCTGGAGACGTGTTTCAATTGAACATCACACCAAGATAATCCGAAGGAGGTGCTGAGGAGGAGGGAGGGGAGCAGCTGAGGAGGAGCAGGAAGAGTGGAAGGAAAAAGGAGGTGCAGAGGAGGTGGACAAGTGAAGGGGGAAGGAGTTGGAGAGGAGGAGACGGTGGAGAGGAGAAGAAGTTGAGGAGGAAGAAGAGGCGCGTAGAGGGAATGGAGGAGGAGGAGGAGGAGGAGGAGATCAGGGTGAACGAGCAGGTGACGCGGCAGAGGACTGGTGGCAGCACCTTCTTGTAATCGTTCTTAGTCAACATGAAAGTGAGCTGCGATAGCGTTCAGAGGACAGAAGGCAGCACACAGAACACAAGTACTTTGTCTCTCAACCTCACATTCAGCTTGCCTGTCAAGGGCTCCTCCTCATACTCCGGCATGACCTCCAATGCTGTCGCTGCGGTCAGGCTGCGCCGTCGGTCGCCCCTCCTCCTCCTCCTCCTCCTCCTCCTCCTCCTCCTCCTCCTCCTCTCTCTCTCCTCCTCCTCCTCCTCCTGGTCTTTCGACCCTGAATTG